AAGATGTAATCAAGCAAAATCACACACCAACTCAAAAGAATTTGTCTCCACAAAAATGACAAAATGATTTTCTAAAAACAAGGAACATGTTTCAAAACCAATTCAAAAATCTAATGTTCAAACTTCTTATCATGAAAATTATGTGCAAAATCAACATCCAAAGAGTTTTGTTTCGAATTCACAAAATCAAAGAGTTCTACAAAATAATTTTTCAAGAAGTGATTTTCAATCAAGTAAACAAAAGGATTATCATCGAGTTCCAAATCAAAATCAATTTTTGAACTCTCAAAAAGTTTTTCAAAGAAATAACATTCGTTATCAAAGTCGATTTCAAAATCGTTATACTCCTCATGTTTCCACAAGAAAACCAACAAGACACTGTGAGAATTACAAGTTCAAGGGAGAAGATATGAATCTTTAAAGCCTTATCCAAATCCTTTTCCAAACCCACCTTCAAAACAAACGGTAAAAGCTTCATTTGTTAAAGGAAAAACAAATGTGAAGAATATTAATCATTGGTTGGAAGGAAAGGGAAAGAGATTTCAATATGGGAAATTTTCTCAAGAACAGATCAAGGATGAATATGAGAAGTATCTGAATGAATCATCCAATGGAAGTTCTTCATTAAAAGAATCAAATATTTCTGTTAAACAATGGAGAGCTATTCCAAAGGTAATGGTTATTGAGAAACAAACGGAGAAACAAAAGGCAAAAGCCAGTGAAGATTTTAAACCAACGAATACTTACTTTTCTGTGCCTTTAACTAACGAAGTTGACTTAGTTGATAGTCTCAAGTCTAAAGTTCGTAATTAGATCAAAGGATCTTCATTTCACATTATCTTTCAAACTAATAACCAAGGACCCAAACAGCCTTGGGGACCTAAATTCTTTCATTAATTGCAGGTTATGAGTGACGAGCAATATGATGAAAAATGGTATATCGATAGTGGTTTCTCTCGTCACATGACTGGCAGAAAGGAGAATCTTCGTGATTATAGAACTTTGGAGAATGCTGGAGTAGTGAAAGTTGGCAACAACAATAAATGTCATGTTAGAGGATACGGAAAAGTCACAAATGGGAAATTCACAGTGAACAGAGTTGCATATGTCGAAAGTCTTCAACATAACTTGATAAGTGTTTCGCAACTTGTTGTGGGCACTGGCAATCAAGTGGTGTTTAATGAAGAAAGCAGTGTGATTTCGAGTATTGAAACAAAGGAAATTTTGCTCAAATCCAAATGAAAATGCGATATGTTTACTCTTGACATCAATCCAATAGTTGGAATTCCCTCAGTATGCTTACTTTCGAAAGCTTCCTCTGATGTTAGCTGGCTCTGGCATCGACGACTGTCTCATTTGAATTTTCGAAATTTGAATAAATTGGTGGTACAAGATCTAGTTAGAGGTTTACCTGTGTTAAAATTTGATAATGATACTTTGTGTGCAGCTTCCGAACAAGAAAAGCAGCACAGACAAGGTCATGTCATTGTTATTGATTCGAAGATTGTTGAGCATCTGGAATTACTTCACATTGATCTGTGTGGACCCTCAACTGTTGAGACTCTCAACAAGAAGAGATTCATATTGGTCATTGTTGATGATTTTTCAAGATTTACATGGATATATTTTCTAAGACTCAAATCCGAAACTGCTCAAGCATTGATCGACTTCATCAAGCATATTGAACTAAGTTTGAAGAAAAAGGTTTGAAAGATCAAGAGTGACAATGGCTCTGAATTTAAGAACAATGTTCTTGATTCGTTTTTAACTGACAAAGGAATTTCGCATAATTTCTCTTCACATTACACTCCTCAACAGAATGGTGTTGTAGAAAGACGAAATCGTTCCCTTTGTGAATCTGCAAGGACAATGCTCACATATGCGAATCTTCCTCAATACTTATGGGCCGAAGCAGTTTCTACTGCTTTTTTCACTCAAAATCGATCGTTTATTCATCGTCGTTTTAGCATTACTCCTTATGAAATTATAAACAATCGCAAACCAAATGTTAAATTTTTCCATGTTTTTGGGTGCAGGTGCTTTATCATGAATCTCAAGGATCATCTTTCAAAGTTTCAGCCAAAAGCTGACGAAGGGATATTTTTGGGATATTCGCACAATTCGGTTGCATATAGGGTGTTAAACGAACGAACGAGAAAGATCGAAGAAACATTTAATCTCACTTTTGATGATTATTTTGTTAAACAAGTTGATAAAATCTTTGAACAACAACCAATAATGAATGAATCAAATAATGAATCTCAATCTTTGAATTCGTTAGATTTTGATTATGATTTGATTTTTGGTGTTCCAGATCGTGCCATTGATGCAAAAGTAAATGCTGATGATAATCGCGTGCCTGAAGCATCGAAACATTCAGAGGATTCCACTCTTACACAGGATAACAATGATTTGTTTTCATCAACAAATTCTTCCACGAATAAAGAAATTCTACCAATTATGACGAATGTTCAAGTTGAGGGGGAGCATACTTTCGAGGGGGAGAGAGTTAGACGAATGTTGATGTCGAGGGGGAGCATCATAATAATAATCTAATTGTTGAGGGGGAGCAAGTTGGAAATAATACAAATGTTTTGAATGATTAAACTGATGTTTTTCATGATATTAATGATAACTTCTCAAATGCAGGTGAAGGATCTGAAACTGAAGAGATGTTCAAAGATGCACTGTTGGACTTTGATCCTGCATATCCTCCAATGGATAGATGGATTAGAAGTCATCCAAAGGAACAAGTTTTAAGTGATCCACATGAAGGAGTGTTTACAAGAGCTCAATTGCGTGCAATGAATGAGGTACTTAATGTAAATCAAGAATTTTGCATGTTCAATGTTTTTATTTCAAAAATTGAACCTAAATCAGTCAAGGATGCTATGAAACATACTGATTGGGTTGTTTCTATGCAATCTGAACTTGCTGAATTCGAAAGAAACAAGGTTTGGAGATTAATTCCCAAACCAAATGATGTTTCAATTGTGGGTTTAAAATGGATCTTTAAAAACAATACTGATAAAGATGGTAATATTATACGAAACAAAGCTAGGCTTGTAGTTAAAGGTTATTTGCAACAAGAAGGTATAGATTATGAGGAAACCTTCGCCCGTGTCGCAAGACTCGAGGTTGTTCGAATATTTTTAGCCTATGCAGCGTACAAGGATTTTGATGTCAACCAGATGGATGTTAAGTGTGCGTTTCTCAATGGTGAACTTGAAGAGACTGTGTACGTTGAACAACCCTCGGGTTTTATTAATGAAGAATATCCTGATCATTGTTATATTTTAGATAAAGCAATATATGGGTTAAAACAAGGACCAAGAAACTGGTATGCAACTATTACCAATTTCTTAAAACAATTGAAATTTAAACAAGGATCAGTTGATCCCACTCTTTTTCGAAAGAAAGTTGGAAATCATCGCGTACTTGTTCATATTTATGTTGATGATATTATTTTTGGCTCTACTGACCCTGCTTTGTCAAGAGAATTCGAAAATTTGATGAAAAGTCAATTTGAGATGAGCATGATGGGGAAGATAAACAACTTTCTGGGATTAAATATTTGTCAAAGCAGAGAATGAATATTAATAAATCAAGAGAAATATACAAGAAATCTGCTTGAAAAGTTCGGAATGACGAATAACACAAAGTTGAGAGTACCAATGGCAGTTGGAACAAAACTAAGTCCTTCGTTAGATAAACCAACTGTTGACCTTACATTGTATCGAAGCATGATAGGTTCGTTACTTTACCTCATGGCAAGTCGACCTGATATCATGTTTTCTGTGTGCAATTGTGCTAGGTACCAATCAAATCCCAGGGAACCACATCTAACTGTAGTCAAGAATATTTTTCGTTATCTCAAATGAACAACTTCGTTAGGACTGTGGTATCCTTCAAAAACAGGGTTCCATTGTTGTCTAATTTTGTATTTTCTTTGATCCGTTGTTGGGAAATTTTGTAAAAAAAATTGTCGTCACTTTTATGCAGGTGGGCATGATTTTAAATAATTTAATAAATACTATAATTAAGTTTCGCCGGCGGTTTAGGGCGATACCGACAGTACTGCCAGGTCATGGCCCCTTCAATGGCGGGTTCCAACGTTTTAGGGAGGTGGGAACTCTTGTGCGGGTTGTTGAACCCGCTTCAACCTTTACTCCTCCTACATTGACGAATTGGAAAGAAGACAATCTCACAACCTTTACCTTCACTAGAATTTTCCCCATCGTCGATTGCTCCTACCTTATCAAATAGTTCTCCAAATCTTTTTGAACGTCCGATTGAAGATGACAAAAAAGTAAAGAAATCCTTAATCCCAAGTCTTTGAGCGTTTGTTTTTTATGGGCCTTATTTTTAATAGCTTTTATGTGAAAATAGGATTATGAGCCGAAGTTTTGTAAACCCAAATTTTAGTGTGCATCAAATAATAGTTGTAAAATAGTTTTTTTTTTTTTTTTTTTTTTTTTTTTTTTTGTTTTTGAAATTCCAAGAATCACAGAAAAGATTTTTCTTTTGTTTGAAATTATTTATTTAAAATAGTTTGTTATTTTATATAAGTGTTCATAAATTTATCTAATAGTAACATGCATTTTATGAGAAAGTATTTGGATTAAAATATTAAAAATATAATAAATTAATTTCTAGGTTTTTAATTATTAAAAATAATGATATAGTAGTGGGTTGAGTGGGTTGAGAAACATAGGGTTTATATGTGTTGTGGGTTGGAAAAGATAGAGGAAAAAAGAAAAAAAAACCTGATGTGGTAGTAGGTTGAAAGGGAATAACTCCATCAGCCCTAATAGTGAAAAATGCTAAAAACATAAAGGAAACAATGTGACTAACTAGTAACCGATTCTCACAAGAATAACCAATTTTAGACGATGTCTTTTTCTCGTACTATCTTGCAAAGAGGAGGTTAGTTTGCAAAAATAAAATTAAAAAAGCAAGAATAGATAGGGTTTCAAAAAAGCCTAGGAAATATTTGAAAATTATCGTTGAAATGAATCGAAAAACCATACCGAAATATGTGGTGGTCGATCATTAACAGCAGAAGCACCATTGGTCTTTCGCTCTACGTTTTCTTTGAATTGTTTGTACGCTAACTGCATATATGAAGTAGTTTAGTTTATATTTGAATTGCCGTTCAAAAAAAAATTATCACATAACTTTATTTATTTTTTCATTTTGAGATAGGTTACTATAAAATTGAAGCCCGGACTCATGGCCGGTTCTGAGAAATTAAATATCCTCAAACGCTCAAGAAGAACTAGAAAAAAAAAGACCATTATCGCTATTATTAATTTTTATTTTTAAATAACAATATATACTAAAAAAATTATACTTTATGCAGCTGTTTACCTCAACGCCCCATCATACAGGTTGATCAACAATATTAGGCACAACATAACTTCTATTGGTTGCTGAATTAAAGATTGTTCAACTACGACAACAAAGTGTAGCTGCTTATGATTTTATTATATAAAAAAGAAGCAAATTATAATCTAAATGAATATTTTTATAATCTCGATATGAATAAAACCACCTTTGAACACTTTAAACTTTAAGATTGTGACATAAACTTATTATTTTTGTACGTTTGTATGAAGAGTAAAAAAGTAAAACATTATTTTATTTTTAGGATATTAATTTACCTTCATCTTCTGTTCATCATCTTCAAACTCCTGACTTCTAAAAAGCAATTCGTCATGTCCATAGCTAGAAAAGAACCACTCTGGACACCTACTCTTGACCCTATACTTCCTACAAAAAGGCAACCACTCCTTTGCAAATGAACATGCTTCTTTCATCGCATAAACCGTCGACGGAGCACCACCGTCGTCTGACAAATACACCGCCAGTTTTTCCGACGGGTAATCAAGTCCCATGGCGGACAACACCGTGTTCATGACCTCCACCGTCGGCTCCTTACTGGGGTCCGCCGTGCATATGAAGACGTCAACTTTCGGCAACTGGTCGTCATCAGGGAGGTTATGAAGGGCTACGGTTCGAGCCACCGGACGCCACCGGAAGGCTTGAGTTAAGAACCAAATGAAGGAGAAGATAAACTCGGAAACCGTCATGAGAACCCATGGCAGGGTGGGTACGTCGCCGTGGATTAAGTTGGTGAGCCTGTAGTATAAGATGGCGACGGTGGCCGTGAAGTGGAGGAGCATGTGAAGTCTTTGGGCGGCGGCTCGCGGTTGTTGAACGGAGCAGGAGTTAAGAGACATGGTGGCAGCTGCCATTTCTTGGTTAATTTGTGTTCCTTTGAGGTTAATTACTACTTTTTCTTCTTAAATATTGATTGTATATCAAGTGCTTTAAACTCCAAATCTTAATTCTATATTTTGTCACTACTTCTAATCCTTATTTTTGTAATATTATGGAAAGATATCGAATATATTAATTATGAACCTATAATCATGATTAATTATTTAAAAACATATGGAGATTTATAAAATAAAATAAAAATATTGCTTAGTATATAAATTACCATTTTTGGGGTTTGGCTTCCTTCCAAAAACTTCAATTGTTATGCAAGCCCTTCCCTCACGATACTTTGATATATGAATGACAAAGAATCTCCTATCCTAATAAATGAGAGCACAATTGCCACGTGTCAATTGCTCAGCCATTCTCAAGCTTCTATTCCCGTTCTTTTTTTTAAAAGTGATTTTCCTAATTTGCCCTTAGTCTACTTTTTACTTAATTAAATATTCAAATTCAAATTCGTCCACCTATTTGAATATTATTTTCTTCCTTAGAGCATCCACAATGGGGAGTTTAATGGAAGAGTTGAATGAGGTGTCATGCCTACTTATCATTTAATGAATACAACTCCACCATTATGAAATGCCACCTTGGCATTTAATGGATTTGGAGTTCAATGGTCATTGAACTCTTCAATGGAAAAAAGGAAAGTCTTTAAATCTTTAAATAAATATTTTTTTAATATGTTTCATTGAACTTGTAGAGTTTAATGCATTGTGGGATAAAAATGAATAGAGTTGTATGAAATAGTGAATGATGATGTGATACTCCATTGAACTTTATAGAGTTCGATGCATTGTGGATGCCCTTATTTGTCTCATTCACCAAAACTTAATGTTGACTTTAAAATGTTCAAATCTTTAACGATAACATTAGGGATTACATATTCAAATTTGAAATCCTTAATATTTATTTAGCCCAAATTTCGTGAATACCCTATAATCCTATTAACTTATTTCCTGAATGTTTGCTACATACCATTAAAAAGAATTTACCGAAATATTTATCTATAAAAAAAACTACATCAAATAAAATCCAATTATACCATCTATTTATGTTGATCGATTATACCTTCCATTAATGTTAAATTCAAAATTCTTTAATGAATAAGGAATCCTGCAATTAAGTCTAGAAATTAGTTACTCTATGAAGTCAAACATTCAAAAGATAAGCATAATCTCTATAATTTGAATAAATTTTCATTGATTTGTTTCCTCTATCTCATTGCTTGGTACAACATAAATACACATAATCGATTTCTAACCTTTGGTAATTTTTTCTTTTGACGTGTCTTTCTGGTGAATCAGATCAACTCTCTGAATACCCTTCTACTTCACAAGTTAAACACATCAGTAAGTTTATGTATTTCTTTTCCCTTATTCCTTCATTCACACTATACTCTGTAGATTAAAACTCTACAAGGCATCGGTTTCAATTTTACATATTTTGGCGGTGTTAGACTTATGGTGGTAGTGTTCATATAATGCAATCATTTTAAATGTAACACCACCGCCAGTCTATAATTCAGTCACATTTTAAGTGTCACAATGCCAACGGATTCAGTATTACATTTTTTTTTTAAAATCCATTTAAACCAATTATAACAATGTACTTTTAAAACATATTGCTATAATATGGATAATAGTTCTTATTCAAATTTTCTTTTGATCAATTAGAAAGGTAGTTAGTGTGTGGTCCTCTTTTTTTTTTTTTTTTAAATATATATTTATACCATTTATAGCAATGTACTTTTAAACCACATTGCTATAATTTGAGTAAATTTATTATTTAATAAATTTATTATTTCACTTCCCGTAGGTACGTCTGTGTGAAATAGCTGCTCAAGGAAGACCTGTAATATCATTTGATTTTCACTAGACATCAATTAAAGTGGTAATACAATTTACATTGGGAATGGATATGGTGATCTTGCATATGCTGACATACACACATGTATATAATTCTCAAAACATTTGATGTTATATTGGTTGATAAAATGTGTCTCTTAGACAAGGGTAATTTCTCCATTTTACTAAAACAACATGATAGATTTTTTTCATTTTTCCCTTTTAAAGTTTAATTTTTTAAATGAAATAGGGTTGGGTTAAACTTACTTTTCTTTGAGCTATTGTTTATGTTTTTCGGAATTATAAAGTTACCTACCAAATTACTGATGTTTATATCCATTTCTTTTAATGTTTTTTTTTTTAAATTAAAACATATTCCTAACTAAACATATAAATATAAAGTATTTTAGTTATAATCAAAATCAATTGTTATATAAGCTACTCTAACAATTTAACTATGACAAATTTAACATACATCTTGATAATTCTTTTGATTTTAATCCGTGAACCTCATATTGCTGGCACCAAAGTTATCGGTGGCTCTTTTCATATTTTCTAATTGGATTTTAAAATGTTGAAACTTCTTAATGAAGTCCAAATAATAAGAAAATTCAAATCTAAGTGTTTGAAGCAATTACAAGTACTATAGTACTTAAAAAAGGTATTTTTATATACATATAGAATATGAAACTTCACCATGTTTTCACTAACATTTAGTAAACTCCTTAGCAAACAATACAACTGCTTCGATTCGTTTAATAAAATATCTAAACATATAAAACAAATTCAATATTAATAACAATATATAAATTAATTTTAAAACTAAATTATAAACTTACTACAAATTTCTATCTTTGTAAATTAACAACAATTAATATATATTTTTTTCTTTTTTTGTAAATATTTGATTAGTCGTTACGATTTCAATTTATAATTAGTAACTTTGTTTATCAACCGTGGTTTCCACAGGTTGAAACCTAGTTTAGTATACATTAATGTTAATTACCTTAATTAACCACCTTAATTTATTAGACGGCTGAAAGATACCCCTATATATATTGTAATTGTGTATATCAGCTTCTTTTATAATATTGTTCTTTTTCACGTAGATATAGAATACATTTATCAACTTGACTATGTTGTTTGGAATCATGTTTCATTTTATGTTTTCTTATATTGTTGTTTTCCGCATCAAAAGCTACACCTTGCAATTATGATAAAGCACGTGGAGGTCAGCGTTTACCAAATTGTGATGACAATGGGTGCAAAGATCATCTCCAATCCCACCCTCAAATCTCATTTTTCACCCCATTATCTTTCAACCCTACCTTATTTTCATTTTTATTTTTAAAAATATAAATAGTATTCCCCCAAATATGAGCAAACATTGTTCATTTCTCCAAAAATAGAGGTGAAGTTTTAATTGTCGGTTTAGTCTCTTTCTTTTTCATTTTGTACATTTATAGTTTATTTTTATCTGTTAATTATAATTCAGATGTAATATTTAATATTTTTAATATCATGTTATATATTAAATTTTATTAATTAATCGTAAATGTAAAGTTTGATATTTATGTATCGAATTCATATAAAAAATAAATACATACTAAAAATTTGAATCACGACAACATATATTATAAAATCTTATAATTGAATAAGGCTTTTCATATATATGCATTTTCATATATAGTTCATGTCGATAAAAAAAGTTATTTTTATATATAGCGGTTTGGTCCGGTTTTACTAATGTTTTTCGACTCCGGTCATCGGCCCGGTTATAATTACTTCTGTTTGGTTTGGGTCGGTTCCAGTTTTTTAATGTCCAGTCTACGAAATAAATTAGTTGATCACTTATGGAAAATTTATTCCAACACAAACATATGTAGTAGATTTTTCAAATATATGTGTGAATTTCTAAAAGATGTATGTATTAAGGTTATCAAGATCGGGATCCTACGTAAGATCGTAAGATCCCACAAGATAAAATATAATTTTAATTTAAAATTTTTAAACATGAAAAATATTTCAAACATTCAATTTTTCGTTCAAAAGTTATAAAAACTTAAAAATATTAGTCATAAGTTACAACACAAAATGAAAACCGTAAATTGGTAAAGGTAAAAAACATAAAGTGGTAAGAAAATTTTCATTTGCACAAAAAAAATCAAGGGGAGGTAGGATCGGATCGGATCCCGATCCTACGATCTTACGATCCTACCTGCTATCTTACCCTAAATACGATCCGTTTACGATCCGAATCGTTTTTCATACCTACGGTCGTAGGACGATCCTACAATCAGGATTGCGATTTTGACAACCATGGTATGTATAATATTTATTTATAAGTGATTTATAAATATAATCTTATTTATTTAATAATTATTCTTAATAAATTAATAATTAATTCAAATTATATATATATATATATATATATATATATATATATATATATATATATATATATATATATATATATATATATATATATATATATATATATATATATAAACATTTTATTTTGTTATGATTTTATGATAAAATAATTGATAATATTATTTTAATGAAAAAAGAATATATATTTGTTAAAATTTAATTAGTAAAAGGGGTGTGTTTGAAAATATATGTAAGTTATAAAAAATGAATATACTAGTAATTAGGGCTGTTAATCGGGTCAACCCGATCGGGTTTCGGATTAAACGGGTCGGGTTAATCGGGTTTTTTCTTAAAAAAATTTAACCCTAAACCCGACCCTATTAAGGTTCGGGTTAGTCGGGTTTCGGGTTAACCGGTTTGGGTTAGTCGGGTTAATCGGGTTTAAATAGAAATAAAATAATATTTGTTTATTTTAACAAATAACTTATAAATATAATGACCTAAAATGTAACATTTTAAAAAGTAAACTATTTGTACATATAATGAATTTAAAAACTAAAAAACGTTGGGTTCATAAACTTGTTGTAACTTACATATACATAATTTTTGTTACCTTTAGTATAACTATCACTTAATTCCTTATATATGTTTATTTTATTAAACAAATGTAATTTACTTTTTTAATACACCTTAATATGAAAAGATCCAATATGTATCCTTCTAGAAAATATAACGTAATATGAGTAAATGTAAAA